AAAAAAAAAAAAAATAAGAAAGAATTCCCTTTTCGATTTCCTAATAACAATCTTTTTGTCTCGTCAAAATTTTTATTATTCGTTTCATTTCACGTACACACGTATCTTCTTCATTTTCTTCTTAAAACCTTGTTAAACAAATAATTCTTCCACTCGCTCTAAAAATGACCTAATACCCTTCACAAAGAATAATATATAATAATTTCCCTCCCATAATATCTCGTATTACTTATTTCGTCCAATTCTTGTCGAATTTTATGGACGTTGAACGAGGCGTTGAACGTGTGTCCGTGTCTCGTTTCGCAAGTGTGCGTGCGCACGACCACAAGTAAGCAGAGTAGCGGTGGTGGTGGTGGTAGTTAGGCGTACATATCGCAGAGGAGTTGGCCACGGCAACCTACTTACCAACCCGGTAAACTGCAGCCAGCAATGTCGCCTCGTTTATTCTCCGACTGGTATTGTGCATCCTGTCGCGTTGAAGAATACCAGGCAGCCTTCGTTCGGTCGTTCATTGTCCATTGGTCTTGAGAATGTCCCGTTCGGCTAATGAAATATCTTTCGAGAATCTGCTACGTGTCGCGATTCCTTGATAGCACTCGTCCCGTCTTCGCTGTTTTCGTCTCGAGATTTATCGTCTATTATGTCGAGGTTCCATGCTAGTATTTGTACACCATTGTACACCGCTGTTCAAAACTGTTGTATTCGTGAGCGTGTCCGGCGTGTTATTTCCAATTTTTAACGCTCGAATTTTTTCGATTTTTCTTGCGATATTAAAAAAAATTATGAAATATAAATTTTATATTATGTAATCGAACAATTGATAATTTTGTAATGTAATACGATTATTGAACGAGGAAAAATAAGGTGAGATGATAATTTTAAAAGATTCTAGAATATGAAATAATCGTTTCGAACAAATTCTCTTTTGTTTATTTATTTATTTTTTTTTTTTATCAATCAAATACTTAATTCCTAACCTTTGAACAGTGGTGTAGTATAGAATGTAGTTAGGGACGAGTATGTGTATATCCGTGGAGGTATCGTGAGCAAAGAATGTTAGATTTTATGTAAAGGATGTAAGAATTCGAGTTGGCTTGTAAAAGAGAATCGGTAAATAAATTTACGTTGGTATTAATTAAAATTGAATGGAAACAAGTGCCTACGTTATAGACGTTTAAATGTCTTGCATAGTCTTTTACACGATTCATCCATTAGTAATAGACAAATGGATTTATCCGTTTAATACAATATCAATATTATATTATCAAGAATATAATCTTTTTTTAATACATAATAATTCGATACTTTAAATCGATGTTTTCCTTTTTTCTCTCTCTCTCTCTATTTTGAGCGAACGAATGTTTTATTTAAAATGTTTATTTAAAAAAAAAAAAAGAATTCACACTTGGACTTAGATTTAGGTAAACGTAAACGTGGCCAAAAGGGCGTTGCACTTAAGTATCGGAAAAGGCGAACGGCCGGCCGTAATTAATAGAAGTGAAGCTGCGAAATAATTGTAATGCGTTGTAGTAGTTCGAACTGTGGCAATTAAAAATTTAATTAAAACGGTCGTATTCCTACTCGTCACGCTTTCTTGTTACATCGTGGCACAAAGAAGCTTTTTAATAAATGGAAATCCAGTTCGAACTTTGATAAGTTCTATTCCTTTTCCCCTCTCTTCCTCCATCCCTTCTTTCTTCCTTCTTTCAGAGAAAGAATATTTTTTATTCTCATGGAATTGCTGAAAATTTTCTTTCAACTCTCTTTCTTCTGCTACCTTGAAACCTTATTCTTCGGTTACTTTTTTTTTTTTTTCTTTTTTATCAGAAATATTTTCACATCCACCTCGTGATTAATTGTAGATAATAGTAGATAACTGTTGCAATTATCGACAATTATCGAGATAAGATTATGAAAAGAAAGTCGTGTCAAAGGTCATAATACTCTCTAATTATTTTTATTTTTTTTTATAATTCGAAAAAAAATTCTTTACTGATTTATTTATCAAGAATCATATCTCTCTCTCTCTCTCTCTTCAATTGCAAAATAATTCATCCTTCCGAATTACACGAGTAATGATGAGAAAGGAACTCGAAGAAAATAGCGTAGTTGCGTATTCCCCATTTTTACTTGGTAAATTCAAGCATGCATAAACGCAAGGTGAAATCATACGGAATAACGTTCTCCAACGCTAATTGCACGACTGCAATGAAAATTCGCTGTCATTCGAATAATTATATGCAGTTGGAGCACGAACGTGTCCAGTA